GAGCATTAATTTTTAATAAAAGTTGTCAAAGAGTTTCTTTGATTTATCTCACTAATGATCAAATGACCTACCTCCATGTAGGTGGCTTATAAAATAGAAATGAAGCTGCCCTGAGGACTCTGAATCAATGGTAAAAATTTATATAAATATCTTCTCCAAACGGTAAATATCACCAACATTGAGGAAGGAGAAATTGTCATAACCAGAAATATCTGGATACACGAAAGGTGTTTTCAAAACCTATGAATAAAATATTTTCTTGGCAGGATCCTGACTGCCATAAATGTCTAGGCATAGTTTTTAATGAGCAGTAAAAATGATAGTTAAATATTTCATTCGTTTGGGAATTGTTCTCAAGACTATTATTACAGGATCACTTATTTGGTGCTATAAAAATTATATATTTTAAGAAGTGTTTGATGTCTCACATATAGCAATGTTAATAGCTCTAAACTCCAACAGCACTCCTCATCTTTAATCTTGAGTTTGCTTCATGAGTCCTCATGTCAAATGATATTCTGGGCAATGATTATCCACTAATACAAATAAACATCAGATTGCAGGGGTAAACTTCCAATCAAATCCCAAGTTATTATCATATCCTAAAAGCAGTGATTAAAAACAGAGAAGAATCCTGTACCTGTAGAATTGTGAAATGGATGAGTCCCGCATTTAGCATTCTCACCCTCACGTTCAGAGCCATCCAGCTCCTTCATATATTCTACTCCACTTCCATCTCCTTTCCTAAGCTGCAGTTTCCTTCCCAGCTGCAGTCTAGGTGCTCAGAGATTTTTGGCCCATTGCAAACACCCATCGTGATGTTTTGGCACCAACATAGCATCATTTGAGATCCTTCTGAATCTCTTGCTTTTCACTCAAATCTCCCCTAATCTAAATGGTCATCAGTGTAGAATTGCATCTGAAGACTTCTGGAGACAACTGATTTGACAGCACAGAGTCAGAATTCTTAGGTTACTGTGACAAGATCCTGTGGGCATAAGTTGAGTCAGTGCCCATAATATGATGCTATTTGTTCAGTCTTACTTTGATTTACTCACTAAACAACTCATCCTCAACAGAACTGAAAGTGCAGAGGGGGTTGGAAGTGGGTTAGAGAAGAAAGTCTAATCAGAAATGTAGAAGGCGTTGAGGAGTGCATAGATTGAAAATAAACTTTTTCTTTTTGCGTTGATTTGAATTTTGCAACAATATTTTTATTTTCAAATGACATTAATGAAAAACATAAAATGTTTATATTTCCTAAAGGGGAACTTGAGTAATACTGCACTGTCCCTGATCAGAAAGAATGTTAACAGAATGCATGTGTTAATTTCTCTTTATTTTAGTTAAATGATAGATTTACTCATTTGCAACTAACTCTTACTGTCTTTCTCCCATTTCACAATAATTAACTACTGTTACTAAACATTATATCCATTTTACTTACCTGTCTTTGGTAGTATTTGAAAGTGAATGCACAATTTCTGGACAAAATAGGAATAGACACATGGACTGACTAACTCTTACTGTCTTTCTCCCATTTCACAATAATTAACTACTGTTACTAAACATTATATTCATTTTACTTACCTGTCTTTGGTAGTATTTGAAAGTGAATGCACAATTTCTGGACAAAATAGGAATAGACACATGGACTCATACATGGATTCACACAATACTGTTAACCGTCCCAATATTTTCATTGATTCCTTCTTCCATGGTGAAATTTCAGGCATAAAATTGGTTTGGGCCAGTATAAATTTTGGCAACATATGCTTGTAGTTCTTCCTAGTAAATCAAACTGTCTCATATTTATGATGCCAAATATATTTTAGACTCATTTATATCAGTAGTTGCTAAAAATTTAGTTCCATGCCTTGGGATGTTAAAAGATCCACGATAAAAAATATAAGTGTAGCATAATGAGTTTTTCATGAAGCTAACCTTATTCATTTTACAGCACTATCCTTTATTATAACATTATTTCCTTCCTTCTTTTTTATGTTGAAATAAATCAACCTTTATGAAACAATGGTGACAGTAGATGGTAATTGTTATCATGTGTGCTTAATGTTTTCAATTTAGCAAAATAAAAAGATGACAAACTTATGTCTCTTACCCATTTTTTTTCCCCACTGTGGGAGGACAGATTTACTGTTATTGGAAATTCAGAAGTCTGCGACCAACTGCTCCATATTCTATCCTGTGCTTCAAATGTTGTTTTATAGGAGTCAGCTGAATAAGACTAGAGCTAGAAGAGAAAATAATACAGTTTCAAAGATGCTTTTCAAGTTGTAAACTAACTTTTCAAGTTGTGAACCACTTGATACTACTACTTTAAAAAAAAAAAAAAAAAACTAGAAAGATATTCCTGAACTGAAAAGACCAGACCTTCTGAGTAAATTTATAAAGCCTATTTTTCATCTACAGGAAAGGGTTTTAAGAGCCAATGTTTCTTTGGAGCCCTTCACTGTGACTTCAAAGTAATCATTTTCAGATTGATATGCCAGAGTCTGTCTGTGGAATGATCAGTTTTTTCTTTTATTGAGAAATCTGAGGTCAGCTAGTACCCAAATGCAGAACATAACACAGAAGAAAAGAGAAAAGACTGACAATGTGAGGCAATGCTTAATTATTTCAATAGTGCAATTAACCACTTACACAAACTTGAAAGCAGAGAGCTAGGATTATGGTGTCTGCTTGGGGAAAAAAAATGCTCTTCAGCTTTTTATCTTTTATAAAATTTCCTCTTCATATACAATTCTGTTGTTAGGCTTTCCATTCACCTGTTTCCTCTCCTTTCTCCTTTAGAATCTTTAGTTTGAAGTGCCCATAATTCTTTAAATGAGCTACCTGGAAAAACAAACAAATGTTCTTTTTAAGGACAGAGAATAGTCATCATTTTATACTTTGTTTTTATTTTTAAATATGGACGTGAATATTGACTTAAGCTCTCAAATCAATATTTTTGGAAAATTTTGTAAAAAGCACTGTCTAGTTACTCTAAGGATAGAGTTCCAATATAAATGTAAACACCAAGCTATCAATATAAGTTCAAAAATACTTTCTGAAAAAAAAAAAAAAAAGAAAGAAAAGAAAAAGACCAATTTTGTGATGCATAAATGTAAACACCAAGCTATCAATATAAGTTCAAAAATACTTTCTGAAAAAAAAAAAAAAGAAAGAAAAGAAAGAAAAGAAAAAGACCAATTTTGTGATGTTTTATAAAGAGTTCTAATATTATTTTCTCTCACACAATATCATTCTTGGATCGATCCAAACCATAAATCTATTTTGTGACTCTCTCTCTCTAGGCGAGTTCCCATCAATTGTTTCTTGATTCAATGACTGACCTCTCGGGCATCACTATTCTACCTTACCACCCTCGCCAGGGCCTCCGTGCCTCCCTCGGCCCCCTTCCAACAGCCGGGTTCCCCTGCGACCCCACGCCATGCCTTGGGGATCCCTGGCTTTCCTTCCATGACACTGTCCTGTTTCCGGCCAGAGGCCCCCGTCGCGGGCCTCGTCCCCGGAGTGCGAGCTGGCCAGCGCGGCACACATACCAGGGTGGCGTGGCGGACGCGCGTCCAGGCAGCAGCTGGCGAGAGGACCCCAGGCTACTCCAGCTGCCCTGCGGCCAAGGCTGGGGCTGGCCCGGAGCCTTGAGGCAGGAGGTAGGTGGGCGACACCCCCCGCGGTTCGAAGGACAGATACAGCAGCCGCGAGGACACTCGCAGGGGGCGCTCCTTGCAGTGGGCGCGGGGCTTCCCCGGGAGCCGGTGAGTCCGAGGGGAGCTGCTGGGCGGCGGCGGGGGCGGCACGGCGCTGTCCGGGAGCCCGCGTGCCCTGGGGCCCCGAGCCGGGGCG